CAGGCTTACCCGTGCCGCGAGTAGAGCAACCCACGATCTTACGACCACACGCCGACGACTACTCCGGCCTGTCACCGACGCTGGTAACCGCCGACCAGCACGCCGAGGAGGGCAGCCTGCACTCACCCGCCTCGCCGCGACTACAGCGCCAACGAACCAGGAGGACGACTGCCATGGCCAGACTCATGGACCTTCACAAAGCCGGCCTAGACGTTCAGACGTCTTTGGTACTACTACGAACCCTCACTGCAGGAGACATGACGTGGCACATGCGTACCACCGGGGTTCCCGCCCAAACGGCGACCCAGCTCGACGCCGACCTACTCAGCACGCTGGAGGAGCTAGTGCAAACGCACGACCTCACAGCGGAGCAGAAAGAGAAATACTGGCACCCTGCCGCTTTGGGCGGCTTGGGATTCCAGAGCGTGAGCGCAGTGCGCCTGGATGCTCAGGCGGCCTCGTGGGCACTCTGCGAGAAGCCAGTACTCCAACGACTGGGCCTCCGCGACAGAGATGACCTTCTCCATTATTGCCCGGGCTTGAGACCAGCGCTCCACCGCCTCCAGAGCACTGTCAACGCGCTGACACAGGAAGAGGCAGCACAGTAGGCACCCGACACGGAGCCGCCCGACACCACCCAGCGGCGCTTTACCAGGCGCAGGCGGCACGCAGAGTGGACGCAGTGGCTACGACGCACCCAGACGGAACCGCACCAACGGGCCTGGGCTCTTAGCGCGACCGGCAAGGGAGCAGGCGCGTGGCTCGGGCCGCCCACGCGGCCCGACCACCACCTCGCTGACGCCCACTTCAGGATGGCCGTGAGACACAGACTCGGATGTCTTGTGCGCGCAGCTGACGGCCCCTGCCCCTTCAGAAAGGAGGACGGAACCCTCTGCGCCGGCACCGTCGACACTAACGGACGCCACGCGCTTTGCTGCTCCTATGGCGGCTTGAGGCACAACAACCTGCGCGACACCATCGCGCGAGCCCTGCGTGAAGCCGCATTTGCGACATCGCTTTCGAACCATGGATTCGCCTGCCCACCGGGCCGGGCAATCCGGGTCTCCGCGCGGACCTCAGGTGCACCGACAGTGACGGCCAGTGGGCTTGTCTTGACCTAGCGATCGTGCATCCCGCGTCGCAGCAGAGCCTGCAGGCCGGAGGGGCCCACGCCCAAGGCACCGCTGCGAGACTGCCCGAAAAGGCCAAGCGCCGCAAATACAACGGAGCCGCTGGTTTCCAGCCCCTCGGCTTCGAATTTTCGGGGGCCATGGGCGAGTCCACCCGGAAATGGCTCGCGCAGCAAGTGCTGGAGGGCCCTGGGCGACAGGAGACTCTCAGCACTCTCCGCCGGTCCATCGCCACCTGCGTGGTCGGGGAGGTGGCGCGCACGCTCATCAGCGCTGCCTGAGGTGGTCGTCGGGCCAGCCAGCGCGCCTAACGCAGGGGTCTGGGTCTGGAACCGGCGGCCTAGCACGACGACGACGCCAGCGCGAGGACAGCGCTGCTGCAGGAGGACGCACGAGGACAGCACCAGCACGAGGACAGCACTAGCACGAGGACAGCACTAGCACGAGGACAGCACTGGCACAAGGACAGCACTAGCACGAGGAGGGGGAGGGGCGCCGAGGAGGAGCGGCGAGGCCAAGGAGGAGGAACGCCGAGGAGGAGCGCCGAGGAGGAACGGCGGCGGTGGCGGCGGCCGGGAGCGGCGGCGGGGCGGCACCTGCGACGGCGGCGGGCCCCTGCCCCAGGGCGGGCGGACTGGGGGCGGGGGGAGGAGCGGCGCCCGGCCCGAGGCGGTGGGCGCGGGCGCGGGCGCGCGCGGCGCGGCC